TAACACTTGCAAAATGCAGTTTGTGTGTGTATGTGTGGGGTGACCAGGATTGTCCCTACAGCAGTTTGGTTTTACTCAGTGTTAGTATAGTTTTGGTGCCTATATGCTGTCATAGTTTCAGCCACCTCACTCATCTTGTCACTGTACAATTTCTGATAATTAAGGGGGGGGGGACTCCAAAATATGTTGTGCCATCAAATCAATCACTTCTGATGTGATATGAGTCAGTGATCTCCCAAATATCCTGTCGTTAACAGCTTTGCTCAGAACTTGCAAATAGAGAGGGAATATTCTTATTTTTTTCTCCTGAGGGAGATGAATTTGAATATCACTGCCACAGGTGGCCAGTCCCCTTTGACCCTCCTCCCAAACTGGCCAGTCCACTCACCAGGCTTCATGTGATGCAGGCAGCCATCACCAGTAACATTACACCAATTGTGGACGTAGCCCAGCCAGTGCTTCCCCACTTCCCTCTGCTGCTAAACACTCAGCAGTGAGCAGGGAGATTCATCATTTCACCTCCTCACTGGATTGGTCTGCAGCACAGGGAGTTAGGGAAGCGCCAACTGGGCTACTTCTGTGATACACACGATGTTACCAGTGATGGCTGAGCATGTGATGCGAAGCCCAGTGAGTAGATATGGGCTGGTTCTGGGGGGAGGAAATTGACCTCCATAGCACTTCTGGTGTCACACTCCAATCTCCCAGAAGATGAATTCTCTGTAGGCATCCTTCAGTCTCGAGAGCCATACTCCATATTCATATCTCCCAGAATATGAATTCTCTGTAGGCGTCCTTCAGTCTCGAGAGATGGTGGCAACATGCTCTGAATTCAGCATCTGGTGTGGCTCAGAAGGCCAATTCTAGAGTTACAGTTCCTCCCACACTGAAGACAAATACAATCTGTCCCCTGTCCAGCTCCCTGATTTTGCTGTTTTTGGGACTGCCTCTCTGCCTCAGCCTCCTGAACAAGTGTCTCCTCAAATTGAGCGAGACCATGCTGCACCACTTGCCTCCAGGCTGAATGCTCAGATGTCAAGGTTTCCTATCTGTTGAGGTCCATTTCTAAGGCCTTCATATCCCGCTTGCAGATATCCTTGTATCGCAGCTGTGGCCTCCCTCTGGGGCACTTTCCCTGCCCTAATTCTCCAGACAGGAGATCTTTTGGAATCCGACCGTCAGCCATTCTCACGACATGCCCAAGCCGACGTAGACATCGCTGTTTCAGTAATGTATACATGCTAAAAACTTCTAGTTCATTCTAGGACTACTCTATTTGGAACTTTGTCCTGCCAGGTGATACCAAAAATGTGTCGGAGACAACACATATGGAAGGTGTTCAGCTTCCTCTCCTGCCGTGCACAAAGAATCCAGGACTCACTGCAGTACAGGAGTGTGCTCAGGATACAGGCTCTATAGACCTGGATCTTGGTATATGCTGTCAGCTTCTTATTAATCCATACTCTCTTTATGAATCTAGAGAACATGGTAGCTGCTTTGCCAATGCATTTATCCAACTCAACATCTAGAAAGAGTGTGTCAGAGATCATTGAGCCAAGGTACATGAAATCATGAGCAATTCTTGTGTAGAGATGGTAGTAGAGGGAAGTGAATCCACGCCTTGGCCCATTAATATGAATACAAAGCTCTCAAAACAACATCTCATATTAGGTTGTTTTTTCTTCCTTTCTCTCTCTCTCTCCCTCCCTTTAGCCAAATTTTCTTTTCCAGTAAGTTCTGTGCAGGTGTTGCAAACTAACTGCTGTGGATTCATTTACCAAGTCAATTGGTCTGATGTTAGATTTTCTTTTCCATTCATCTGGGATTTTCCCTTGCTTGGTGCCACTTTGTGAATGGTAGTGAGCCACTACCTACAGGTGGTGATTCTGTAGGCCATCTTAACTGTTGCAGTTGGTGTTTATTTATTTTTTATTTATTTTATTTATATCCCGCCTATCTGGCCGCTCTTTGCTATGTAAAGTTTGGCATCCTTTCTCCTGCTGACAACACAGACGTGATATTGTGAAGCTATATAAGGTTATTTCCTGGTGTTTTGATTCATGGATGCAGGAGCACAATATCCCACATACATAAACTGGAGGGTTTTTGAAAGATTGAATCTAGAGTATGCTTGCTTCCAGAATTCTGTTGCAGACAGAATTCATATTGAATAACTGACTGTGCTCTTTTGTGCCTGTTACTCTGTGTAGTCTTCATGTGGAAGCAGTGCTTCAAAGAGAAGCTGCACGTCATCTTTATATAATAATACGTATGCATACTATAACTGGAATTGCTGATTATCTTTTTTATTTAAAAAAGCGTGAAGATTTGTGCTGCATATGTGTGTGATTTTCCTATTGATGGTGTTTATTCCAAACAGGTTTTAGTTTTAGCCAAACTTCTTTGCTGCCAAATACATAAATGCATTAAAGTTTATGCTTCAAATTAATGATGCTACTTATCTTTTTCTGTCTGTTGCTGTCTGCGTAAACGAATAGTGTGAGGTTTATTGGCTGGCAGTTGGAGAACATCAATAATATTTCTTTTGGCAGGAGAAACGGTGGCAAAACTATGTGTGTGTTTGTATCACAGATTTTTAAAAGCTTCTCTCTAGTTTTTTTAAAAAATTCATTTTCTTCAAAACTAATGTAATATTTATGCCCTGTGGTAGTCTTACTGCTAGAAAATTATATGTAGAAGGCAGAAAATCAGTTTTCACAACTTCCTTTGAATGCCAACATTCCTTGACCATTCCTGGTTTTTGACTCTCACGAGTACATTCTTGGCAAAAGGAGTGCTGTTATATCTTCCCTGCCAGGATCCTGACACTGACCTCAAGAAACATCTGAGCAATGCCAATTCCTTTGTTTTCCCTCAGCTGCAGAGCTGATTAAATTGGAGACACCTGTGCTGTTCTCACATATTCTGTCAGGGCTTCTGTTACAGCTGTGCAAGGTTGCAACTATTAAAATCTTTATAAGGAATGTGTGTGTGTGTGTGTGTGTGTGTGTGTGTGTGTGAGTGAGTGAGAGAGAGAGAGAGAGCTTGTCTTTTCTTCCTCTACCATCATCGATATGAAATGATTTAAAAAAACAATAACCTTGAACATCAGAGTGTTTTTCCAAATCTTGACTGTCCTTATGGTCTTGTCTTTTCTTCCTCTACCATCATCAATATGAAATGATTTTAAAAAACAATAACCTTGAACATCAGGGTATTTTTCCAAATCTTGACTGTCCTTATGGTCCAAGTAAGTACTTTAGATTCCTTCAGACTTGTTTTGCATAAATGTATGTTAAAAAATGGGCTGAAGCGCAACATAAAAAAAACCTAAGATCATGGCCACTGGCCCCATCACCTCCTGGCAAGTAGAAGGGGAAGATATGGAGGCAGTGACAGATTTTACCTTCTTGGGCTCCATGATCACAACAGATGATGAGAGCAGCCACAAAATTAAAATATGCCTGCTTCTTGGGAGGTAAGTGATGACAAACTTAGTCAGCATCTTAAAAAGCAGAGACATCACCTTGCTAACAAAGGTCTGTGTAGTCAAAGCTATGGTTTTTCCAGTAGTGATGTATGGAAGTGAGAGCTGGACCATAAAGAAGGCTGACCACTAAAGAATTGATGTTTTTGAATTGTGATGCTGGAGGAGACTCTTGAGAATCCCCTGGACTTCAAGGAGAACCAACAAGCTCCGAGGGGCAGTGGAAGACAGGAGGGCCTGGTGTGCTCTGGTCTATGGGGTCACGAAGAGTCAGACACGACTTAACCACTAAACAACAAACAACAAATATAAAAAAGGTATTGATTTCTTTTCTCTCCTCAGTCCCCCTTCAAGTGATGTATGAGATAATACACAAAATATTATTTAAATGTTAAATAACATGTTAAAACATTTTAAACACCAGATGGAATATTATTATTGTTTCTGTTAGTTTTTAGTTAGTTATATCCCATTTGTATTTTAGTGATGTATGAGATAATACACAAAACATTATTTAAATGTTAAATTACGTGTTAAAACATTTTAAACAACAGATGGAATATTATTGTTTGTTAGTTTTTAGTTAGTTATATCCCATTTGTATGTGGCTTTCCTCTTCTCTATTCTCATCCTCACAACAATCCTGTGAGGCAGATGAGATGGAGATCAAAGGTTAGAGAGGAGTACTTAGGCCTCACTATTATGTTCTACTTAGCTTCAGCACTGAGCATGAAGGGGAAGAATTCCTACTCACATATAGGCTCCACTTGCAAACAAGAGCCATAATTTCTGATTTTGTGTATAACTTATATGGAACAAAGTTCTCTCCTTTCTCATTCAGCCCTGAAACTTTGTTGAACATGATGGGTGCTCCTCTCTAAGTGTGTTCTGAGGATTAGAATTTATAATGGCCAAATAGGGCTAGCTAGAACTGTTCAGCTAAGGTCACCCAGTGAGCTGAAGGGGAAGTTCAGTCTGATTTGGTGTTCTGAGGATTAGAATTTATAATGGTCGAATAAGGCTAGTTAGAGCAATTCAGCTAAGGTCACCCAATGAGCTGAAGGGGAAGTTCAGTCTGATTTGCCCATTCTAGCCCAACAGTAATGTTGTGGGAGAGTGCAACACCCATTCTGCCAGTGCTGGTACATTTTCAGAGTTAGTGCAAGCAGTGTAACTAGTGCTGGCTTTGATGTAAAAGCAGTTGCACGATCAGTCATACAACTATGTCCACAGCCTCTTGCATAATATCGTCATCCAGCAAAACTGTGCTAGTGGAGATTTTTACTCTGTTTGTAGACATATTACAAAATGTGTTTTTATCCAATTAGGTCATATAGTATGTTTCTTTGTACATTTGTATTCCTAAGATATATTGTTAGGTCATATTATGGTCAAAATCCTGATGCTTAGTGTAGTAAATCACACTAATGTAGGGTTATTGAATCAATGGGATTTGATGTGTCACCTCCATAAATTCCATTGATTCAAATGGGCTTATTCACATGTGACTTACCATATTCTGGAGGAGACTTCCCTGCCCCATAGTGACCCTATGGGTTGCTTCCTACGGTCTGTTGAGCTCTGTAGTCCAGGTTGTGTGGCCTTTACTTAACACATAGATGTGAGTTAGAAGGCTGCAAGTTCTAGAATTAGGGACTAATTAAGTTTCTGGATGCGAATCACTTCACAAGCTCCACTTAGAGGATTTGTCTAATTGACTGTAGAAATAGTTTGGAGTAGAAGAACATTTCTTTTCATTAGTGTTCAAATGAAGTGCAAATTATAAAACCTCGAAGCTTTCATATTTCTTAAAGATAAAAAACCTGTGAAATGTGGGGAGAACTGGGAAATAGAGTTTGTTTTCAAATTAGAAACAAATATATATTTAATGAAAAAAAAAGTTTGTGGCAATTTTCTGTGTGAATTGTGCTCATCCTGGGTGGAAGGAAACACTAAACAGGTGGGCTCAGTGGTGAATCAATATAGTTGTTGCATGCTGAAACCCTACCCAATCCTCCATGCCTTCCTTACATATTACAATGTCACATGATCCAGGGTTAACTAATAGGGCAGCAAAGAGCTCAAATGGTTAGTAATGGCTCTGCTTCTGACTGCACATGATATCAAGAGGTTAGCTTCATTGCTTGTATTTGGGGAAGGGGGCATGGATAACTTCAGAGAGAAAGAACAAAGGAAGAAATCCCATCAAGTGAGATGAGTTCTTGTTTTGCTTTGCAGCATTCTAGCTGAAGTCTGCAAGGTTTCTTATTTTGTACTAATGTGTGGGACTCAATATTAATACAGTGGGGTCTTGACTTAAGAACGGCTTGAGTTAAGAACATTTTGACTTAAGAACCGCTCTCATAGGAAAATATTGACTTGACTTAAGTACTTAGATTTGAGTTAAGAACTGAAAAAAACCCACGTGGGAGGCAGGGAAAGTGCAAAATTTGAACTTTCAGTTCACTTGTAAATGCATCTATCAAGACACAGGGTTGCCAGCAATGATGTGCAGCCATTGTATAAGGACCAGATGAAGTGCAGGGCCATCTGCATTAGACAGTTTCTTAATTCACTTGACACATACCTACTTCTTTTCTGTCTGGACAGGAGGAATGCAGTATGGAAAGAAAGAGTGCTGAATTGATTTCATGTTGTAGCTATTCTTAGTTGGAACACCTTGTTTATGATTGTGATGGTAGCGATGATGTCATCTGCCTGTCATTGCTGTGGCTGGAGTTCATCTGCCTATAGCATGACGGGAGGTGGGACTTCAGAGGGTGGAGCCATGGTATTTATGGGGGGAGTGAATGAGTTACAGTATGAGTCAGATAGGGTCTAAGATAGGGACTTGGTTAGGGTCTGGTTAGGGACTTAGGGAGTTAGGGCTTATACCTGTTGTGTAGTACTGTGCTATATTTTGAGAGAAGGTCTGAGAGAGAGCGTGTGTGTGATACTTTATATTGATTGCCTTATTATTTCGTTGATACAGTGATTTACCATTCCTTTTGTTCTTACAAATAAACTTAAGTTTTTATTTTAAAAATCCATACAGTTGCCTGAGGAGTCAGTTGAGTGTATGGTTGGTGGCAGCATGAATAAAGTGTGTTTATGTGAGAGTGACGTGACACCTCCTTTGTGACGTGTGAGGAGGCTGTCACAATGATGCACTGTATTCATGTCAGTATGCTAGGAATTAGATTCTGCTGTATGTGCTAGGATCATCATCATCATCTCCTCTGATCGCCTTTTCTTTCTTTCAAAAATACCCACCGATAGAAGGAATTGCTGCCATGATTCAGCATCATTCAGAAGCTAAATCTGTCTATGTTCCATTGTATGGAACATTGTATGGAACATCATTACAGATAGATAACCAAATAGTGTTAATATCATATCACACTCTTGGAGACAAGCTGATGGAGAAAAAAAGTGTTTCTCCTCACAGTGATACCTCCTCTGTGTTAGATTTATTTTTCCTTAGGAAATCAGATGTTTCCTGATAATTTTTTTCTCTAGAAGAAATACCAAGCCATGCAGAATTATTATAATTCTCACTCAGAATGGCATTATTTTCTGATTCACTTGGAAGAAGCTGAAGAAACACCAAACTGCACAGAATTCTTAGAATTCCTGTCTGGAATCTCCTGCACAGGATTCACTAGCTGAACAGAACCCGGCAATTTTTAGCACAGAACCATAGATTAAAGGGAAATTAAAGGGGAAAGTGAAGCCTGGCTTTTATTTTCATACTTTTCCTTTATTTCAATGATGCTGTACTGAACTGAGATTGCAAGAGCTGTCTCAGGCTGTACTAATGGGACATATTTACTGTCTCAGGTGTACTGTTTCAGTAACAAGATGATTGGCAATCTTAATTCAAAGAGTAGGCTTGCTTTCTACATAGGGGTGTCGTACTCTACCACGGGAGTCTGTGAGCAGAGGGTCGCCTTTCATTATTGTAATGTAAGAAGTCTGAGTAGATGGAACTTATGCTGATAAACCATAATTACAAATATTTTTTAAATGGCAGAGATTCAAAAATCCCACTCAACACATTTCCTTTTATCATCTTGAAGAAGCTTGTGTTATGAGTCCTATATCTAGTGAGTTAGGTAAAGAAGAGTATCTTCAATCCTCTATCTAGCTATTTATTTTATTCCAGTTTACATGGATGTTAAGAAACCATCTGTTAGCCATACTCCTGAACTGATTTTACTTAGTTTCCTATTCTCAGAAATTAAAATATATGGTAGAATGCAAATCTGGAGAAAACTAAAAGGGCCCTGGTACACTTATGGTTGAATAACTAGCAAACAGCTTGCAAACATTCATGGGGAACATTAATTCTGAGTGTATGCAAGATTATGGTGCAGAGGATTTAAGGTTTTAGGCTCTTAAGCATTGTGTTGTTTGATTAGTCTTGTGAAAGTGTGCTGACAAATTTTGAAAAAGAAAGCATGCAAGTCTATACATTTTATTACATGGGTTATCAAATATTCTCTATCGTACAGAGTAATATTTATCTAGAACCTGAAGTAATGCATTATATGTAAGGGGGTTGTCTGAAATGCATCACTTTGCTAAACATAATCTTATTAATTATGCCTCCATCTAGATTTCATTTATGAATTTCTGCAAGTTATACAGTTGGCGTAGGGATAGATAATTGATACCAGTCATGTGACTTGCTCTATGATGGCAAATGCCTACACTGGCTTCTTAATTTGCATTTGTGGACTTATACCAGTGTAAATATATAATAGAATTCTGGCTGTTGCATAATAGGACAAATAACATATAGTCTGGAATCATATTGGTTTTCATGGAGGGATTGCATAACTTAGCCGCCTAGAGTGGTCTTAATCGACTAGATAGGCGGGATATAAATAGAATAAATAAATAAATAAATAAAATTACAGAATTGTCAAGGTGCTAGCTCCCACCTCCTGTTACATGGCTGGCACACACCCTGGCATCTCATCAATTAGTCACAGTTATCCATAATTAGCCATGGCAAGTTATGCAGTCTTTTCACAAAACACCAACAGGATTCTGGCCACTAATTTCAATGTCACTATTTCCCCCTGCATAACAAACATGATTACTTTTCATGCAAATAGGGCTAAAATGCTTTCTTAATTTATTTATTTATTTATTTATTTATTTGATTTTTACCCCGCCCCTCTAGACCATGTCTACTCGGGGCGGCTTACAAAATAAAACAAAACAGTATAAAAATATATAAAATCATAAAAATTACAACTACAGTTTCAATTTAAAACAATTAATTTAAAGAGAGGATTACCAAGATGGAATAGCAAAGAAAAAGAAAAAGAGAAAGACTTAATTGACTGGAGGGAAGGCCTGCTTGAATAACCAAGTTTTTAACTGGCTTTTAAAAACACCCAGCGAGGGTGCCAGCCGAATTTCTGTTGTTAAGGCTTTGTTTTTGTTGTATTTCAGTTTTTTCCCCTTATTTTTTATTGTTTCCCATCCTAAAAAAAAGTAATGTATAATATGAAGAAATTCTTGCAATCTTAGCTGTAACAAGTCAGGCAGGATACTATGAGGAACAAAACAATTAAAAAAAAAACCTTTCTAAACTTTTAATGTATCTCAGTGAATTATAACATTACAGATGATCAAGCAGTCCTGGAATAGAAGGATTGTATGGCCTCTGCATCATTGCATATATTGTCCAGAATCCTATTTCCAGCCTATGTTTGCATATGAAAAATTGCATAGGCAAGAGGCAAATTTTTGATCATGAATGAGGTATTGGTGATTATATGGACACAACCAGCACCTCCATATAAATTGTATTAATAAGATGCAATTTGCCACGGCTTTGGCACTTTTTGTTACAGAAGCATGAGTTAGCTATATGACTCTGGCCAATGGATTCTAATTAGAGCAAGCTTGACAGGAAGGAGAAAACCATTCTGTATCAGATAAATGTATCTAGTGAGTGTTGTTGGATCTGTTTCTTTAAAATGGTTGCACATACTTCCTTATAGGCTCTTTCTTCTCCTCACATATTGAGCTGATAAAGCTTAAAGAGACTTTAAACAAGTCCTACAAAGTGAAAATCAATATTAGGAAGGTATAGCACTTCCCAGAGCTGTAGTTTGTTGATGAAGGTTGCATTGACAGCATCATCCTTTCCGATTAGTAGCAGATGGCTTTCAGAGGCCATCTTTCTTTATGTTCTGTGGAGCTGCTGTTAATACTCTAAATGCTATTATAATAATGGATTAATGGTTGATTGGAGTGCTACGATCATGAGCATATTATGTGTCAACATACCTGTTATTTGGGTGAAGCTTCTCAGTATCCAGTGTTTAGGTATTTTAGTGACTTGCCACTTTATTTTTGATCAGTGTTTCCCAGCCTTGGGTCCCCAGATTTTCTTGGACTAAGCTCCCCAAAATTCTAGCCAGCAGTGCTAATGGTGAAAACTTCTGGGAGTTTTAGTCCAAAAACAGCCAGGTACCCAAAGTTGAGAACCACTGTTAGGCAAAACTTCTGCAACAGATGGATTTTATTTATTTCTGCACACTGGAGTAATAACACAGAATGTAAACAAGGCTATATATCTCTCTGATATGAAAGAAATTAACAACTTTAAATACCCCTCAGTTGGAAAGTCCTTTTAAATAATCCAGTATTTATCTTCTTGATGGGCAACCACAAAGAGCCTTCAACAATATCCACAGAAAGTAGCAATGTTACTAAAAAGAAATGGTTTTCAAAGCTTTTATATCTTATGTTATCACCAAAAGAGTTATTTTCAGGGAGATGTTGCTACTCTAGCAAATTAATTCTATAATGGGAGAATGACATAGGATACCCAGTGTGGTGTAGTGGAAAGAGTGATGAATTAGGACTAAGGGGACCTGGGTTTGAATCCCTGCTCATCCTATAGAACTGTCAAAAGTCATCCTTAAGTATCTCATTTACCTCAAAAACCATTTTAGGGACACTGCAAGACAATTCTAATTTGACAAAACATAAACCATTCTGCCATGTATGCATTTTAAGTTAGTTCTATCACCATACTATTGCTACATATGTTAAAAAAAACTATCTGGTGTTTTAGGAGCCATATCTCTTTGTGGTAAACAGACTCTAAACAAGTTGTACATGATAATATTCTGTAAGTATTGTGCCGTTGAGGTATATAGCATGGCCTAGGTCCACCTAGCTTTCAATTCAGAAAGAAATGCATACAGAATCAAAATAAGTGTTGTGGATATTCAGCACATGAATAGAACACTCATAAGTCTAATAGAGAGAGGTTCAGCTTCTACCTGATGAAGAGCCTCTAGTTCCACACTGTTGCAAAACTTTGAAATTTCAATAACTACTCTAATTATAAACACCTCTTGACTTTTGTTGGATAGGGAATTTGTTCCTGCAATCCATTAGAGTTTGATGGATCTGTTTATAAGAGAAAGTAAACTCAGCTTGATGATATGCTAATGAGCACTTGATCACAACATTTGATAGCTAATTGCCTCCAGTATCTTCTATTGACGAAAGTAAATTATTTTCCTCTGATACAGAATTATAACCTTGCACTATATAACTTGACATGTGAGGTGTGTTCTCATTACAGTTAACACGCCTACAATGTCTAGGTATCTGAAACCTTATTTTCTGCAAATT